GGACAGGAGTCGTACACCATAATTTCCTCACAGTATCTTCCAAAGTATATTCCCCACTAACAGGCACTTATTTAAGGGTGTAAGATGTATCTTGGCAGTTTCAAAAGTACAGACACTTTTTAAAAAGGAAATATCAGTTCCATTTCTTTGACAGCAGTCTTGAAAAACCTGTCAACTTATTCAGCCATACACATATGTGTAGGAATGAGCTGTCTTCCATAGAGCCTTCTATAATACGCAAAGTCCTATAACAAGCAACTTGCAGTCTTTTACATTCATCTACATCAAGGCTGCAGAATAGCCCAGTGTGGAAGAGCCTGGGATGTGGAGACAGACTGCCTGGGTTTCCCACTGAGGCTCTAATTTCCTGTCCACATGACCTTAGGCAAGTCACAAAACCTCTCTGCCCTTTTGTTCCCTAATGTGTCAAAGAGGAACGATCATAGTATCTATCTCAGAGAATGTCTGTGAAAATTCAATGAGTACATATAAAGTACTTAGATAAGTGCCTATCACATAGCAGATAGTAAAATAAAGTCATCATTATCTTCGGTTAGATAATACAACTGAATTTCTGCTATTAAAATCTATAACCTATTTTAAAGAACACATAAAATTATTTCAGAACAAGAGAAGTAAAACAAAGAGTGATTACTATTTTTAGGCATGTGTTCCAGTCTCTAGTGGTACTCTGTAACACCAACCCTGCACCTGGAGGTAAAGTGTCCTTAAACCACCGATCTTAAAAGAAGGTTCGCAGCTTATCCCATCGTAATAAATGTTATTTGTACATCCGTATGCAGGTGACGTCAGCAGCCTCACTGTTATTGGCATGGAATAGGTCGTCAATTAATTACTGTTTGGTGGGATAAATGAATCAACTGTGCATCTTATTATACTGGGCAATTTTGATACCAGAGACCTTCAAGAGTAGAATTTTCTTCACTAAAATGCATAGGGTGAAGATGTCCCTGTGTGTCCTCCAACTATACAGCAACTATAATATAGTTCTCCAGGGGGCTGCTTTGCTATTCTTTATATGACCTGACCTAATTAATTTCAAAATGAAAGGAAACACATTAGAGTACCCGCATCAATTAAGCAACTGATTAACTGAGCAGTATGAAACTCATGGAGGCTCAAACATAAAGGACTGTATTTTCTTCTCAATTCCCTGACCTCAGCAGCACTATGCCAACTCCCTTCCTAGCTGGAGTAGATTCCTGAAAAATACCTGGAACAGATCCCAGAATTTTCAGGTCACTTTCAGCTATTAAAAATCCACCCAGTTGAAAATGCCAATCAAATGCCTGAAAACAGGGCCTTCCCTGGGGCATCTCCTGGCTACAGGGTCTCAGGAAATAGAAGGGGTCCTTACAAGGCCAACTCCGAGAGTGCAGGCCAATTCAAGGCTCTTTGTGTCTGCTGCCAACTTCCTCCAATTTTCTTTTTGCCTGCTCAAGTGGGTGTAGGGCACAGCAGTAACTACATGCCTAAAATGTTTGTTGCTTTTCACCACGAAGACATTACTTGCAAGCAACAGCCCCTGTAGTTTTGGGAGGTCTCCTTATTCAGCCCTCCTCCCGTGTCAGCCCATAGGAAGGGACGTGGAGTAGGGGGAGAGGGGAGTTCCAGGGCTGGTTGCTGGCCCTTCCCTTCACAAGGCTATTTTTAATAGCTTTTGCTGTAGAGGACAGGAGAAGCAATGGCAGAGGCAAAGCTAACTGCCCACGGTTATGTCTGTCTTCCCGCTAACTCTACATAAGACTGAACGACCTTGTCAGGGCATGCCAAGGGCAGGGATGGTATACAAAGTATTTAAGAGGCAAGGGTGCCAACTGATCAGAAGGGATGTGGTCCAGGGGCTGGAACAGGGTCTTGCAGGCCCCTTGCTGCATCCTCCAGTTGCTGAAAGGATCAGGGGAGCCCGGGGACGCTGGGAAAGTTGCAGCAAGGGTACTCAGGGGGTTTGGGTCACAGTTTTTTTTAACTAACAATGGGAAGTATTTGGTATGTTAGTACCAGGACAGCTGTACTGGTGGAAACTGGCTGGACATCACTCCTGCTCGTGGGCGCTCATCAGCGTCCGAGCAGAGCTGTCTCTGTTGCGTATCTCCTGATGTGAGAGCCTGTCCCAGGCCTGCTCTCTGCCAACGCCTCCCCCCATGACGGTCCCACGGCTTCTTGCCTGATCACACTGAACTGCTCTCTTTGTCCACTTGACCCGTGGAGACTCATGCATCCTACAAGGCCAAGAAGGAGAGTACAGCAGGCTCTTCCAAGCCTCTCCCTGCAGCCAACTTCCTCCAGTTCTTTTCTCATTTGGTCAGACAGACGCAGGGCACGGCAATACATCTCTGTCTAAAACATTTCTTGCTTCTCACCAAAGACTGAGAAGATACCTCTTGCAGACAGCCCCCGCCCCCCCAATCTTTAACAAAGGTTGTCTTAGAGCTGCCTTCACTTTGCTTGACACGGGGCTGGGATGAACTGTGGAATGCACTTCCTTCCTTTCCTCCTCAGGACAAGGAGAAAAGCCAAAATATTCCGGATGGCTGTGGATAGTCTTTGATAGCCCCCCTCCCACTGATGGCTTGGGGGTTAGGATGGGCATGAAAGGAGAAACCCCTGGAGTGGCACATGGGACAGGAGCTGGATCAGACCATCTCTTCATAAATCCCAAGAGAAGGATCTGGCCCAAACTGAAGGCGGCTTCCTGGTGGATTTCCCTTTGATATGTGTGAATTTAAAGCTGTTCTTTCATATTTCAGACAATAGCACCAATTCTGGGCAACAGGAAAAGATCCTCCTCCATATCCTACTATACTTGTTTCAAGAGGCACCCGAAATAATTAAATATTATATCCAGTTCAAGAAAAATGAATATCAAATACACACGGAATAAAAAAAATATTGAGGAAGCATATTTCTACTGGTGATTATTTGGAGACGCTGATTAATCCATTGTGCACATATTCATGTTTAATTAGAAACTGGGATGGATTTAGAATGTTATTCTAAAACACAGTCTATTAGCATTATGGCATCATATTCATGTGGTGCAAATAATGTGAGATTTTCTTGGTAAATTATTTTTTAGCGACCCTGTTTTATCAAAAGCATATATTTTTACTCAGATGTTATAAGAAACCAAGTCTGAGTATAAGCTGATTTGCTATAATTGGAATAGGCTTATTGCAGTCATTTTACCCCTTTAAAATTATGATACCAGCATTCAAACATCTGTTAAACCGTAGCATCTGTTTCATATTTGGGATGCATCCCTACAAATTAGAAGAATGTTCTTTTTAATGAGCTCTGATTTAATAGGGAATCCTTTTTTTTTTTTAACTGTTATGCCAAAGAAAGAAAATGAGAAGACAAAATCATCTCTCTAGCACCCTCCACAGCAAAGTACCTCAAAGGTCCATACATTTCTAGTATAAAACTGTTCAATAAAGATAAATAATGAGAGTTAACTTGTTTTACAATTTAGCATTGTTACGTATGTATTATGAATATGTATGTAAGCATGCACGTGTGTGTGTGCGCACACACACAAAAACAGGGAAATGCAGAGAGGGCCATACCTTCGTATTATTCAAGAAAAACAGTCACTTCTTCCGAATACGTTGTCTTGACAATCTATAGGGTCTTAAAAATACTAAATTCATGACCTCGTAGTCTCTCTGTTTACTAAGATTTGTTTGCTCCAACTCCAAAGGCGCACTTGTTGCCAGATCTTTACCATTTCAGTTCTATCTGTAGTAGTACTTGGCCACTGACTCACTCAGTTCTTATGATTTCCCTGTGGTCTTTGGCAGTTTTCGAGTCATTTGTAGCCCTCTATCTGGGGCTGATTTTGTCTTACAAGAAGCATGTCAGTTTAATGTCAGACAACAAAGGGTTCATTTGTTCCACTGTTTAGATACTTTACTGTTTCAGGCCTTTGTATTCTTCTATTTCTAATGTGGACCTGGCTAGACTCGAAGAGCTTCATTTAAACATATTTAAAACTCCTAGATTTTTATGATATACGCTACCATAAAATTTAGAAAATGATAGGTTGTCCCATTAAATTTAATAAACTACGAAGGCTTTATAAAAAGAACCATATCACTCACAAACAAAATAAAACAACACACCTCAAAAGGAACTCACTGGAAGGAAGCCAGAAAAATGAGAGAAAAGAGTAAGTTTAATATAAGAGATACTTGGTCACCCATGTTGCGCCTCCTAATTTGTCTCGCCAACAGAGAAAACTGCTATTATCTTGTGTCCGAGCGCTACAGACATTTCTCTCACAGAAGGAAGGCAGAGCGGCGGCAGGGAGGCAGAGAAAGCCCCGGTCCCTGCCTACCCCAGCAACAGGTGCGCTGGCGCCTTTCTCGCCAACCCATCCCCACCAAGTGAGGGCTCTCTGCTCCTCTCAGATTCATGAAAAAACATTTCCTCCTGTGCCAAAGGAACAGCAGCGTTTTATGCCCACGTCATAGCAAGTGTACAACTGGCAGGTATTATAAAACCAGATTTTAAAACATGTCATTGGAGTTCGTCACAAAAAAACAAAACAAAACAAAACCCAAAAGAAAACACCCCCAAATTAAAACATCAACCACCTGGTTGAAAAGTAGTGTCTTCTAGGAATTTATGGATGTTATAGGAGAATCTGAGGAGAGAAACATGACTCCGGCCATTCTTCTGGGTGAACTTATCTCATCAATGTGGGACAAAAACTGACCTTATTTTACAATACTACCTGTGAAAAAGGATTCTGCAAGTTCCCTGAGCCCCCTTTTCCCATGCTTACTGACTTTTCATAGCAAAACTCCTTCTTTTCCTACATTAAAGGCTAACCCTCTTCATGGTTGAAAATTAGATGCAACACCACACTTTCTGGTCACGGGTGAGATGGCACAGTTTAAAGAACGCTGTGATGATGACCTTTTTGTGGTTTCCACGTCTGCAGATCTTATCTCTAAATATTGTTAGAAACTTGCCTCTGCCAGTTGAAAGAGTGCCGACTTCCCACAGCGCTTCATGGGCTCGGCACCACCCAACTGCGAAGTGTTCGAAGAAATCTATATTGAAAACAATTCACATAAAGAAGGTTAGTTGTGTTATCAGAATCTTTACTTCCTATTCATACACACCCAGGAACTTTCTTTCGCTTACGAGAACATCATTGTTCCCAAGTACCAAGTAACTTTAAATGTGTTGCACTTGGGATAATTTTTGAAACCAGTTTTAGTCAACAACCTCAAAAATAGTAACAAAAACCAGGTGTGGCTTGGATAGCTGTTTAATGATAAGAGTATTATCTTGGAAACTGCAGGCTTTAAATTTAACTCTACAACCTTAAAACAAGATACGCATTTCCATTTCTATATAAACACCAACTCATCAACTGGCCAAACACAAGGGATTTAGAGTCATTTTGTATGTACCAAAGCAACAAGTTTTGTTTTGTTTTTTTTAAGGAATATATTTGGGATCTCTAAAATATTTGACTTGTCAGTCAACAAATACTTTTTTGAAAATCCAGTATAAATGAACTAGGGCATTATGATGGGAGCTGGGGAAGCTAAGAGTTTCATATAAAGCACTTGGTCCTGGCTTTGAGAGAATGCTCTAAAGCATACACAAAGACTGACAATCAAGACCACATATCTAAGTAAGTTACAGAGTGAAGGCCTCTGTTGAGGCACATGAACATATACAATATTACACTGCCTGTATGCTCTTCTGCAAATTTGACCAAACAGCAGCTGGGCACTGATAACAATGAACTGCACTGTCCTTTTTCATTTTTATATGAAAACTTCATTTTCAATTTCTAGCCTAACTCCGTAAGAAGCTGAGGACACACATTCCTTTTTATTTTTTTTAAGATTTTATTTATTTATTTGACAGAGAGGGACACAGCGAGAGAGGGAACACAAGCAGGGGGAATGGGAGAGGGAGAAGCAGGCTTCCCGTGGAGCAGGGAGCCCGACGCGGGGCTCGATCCCAGGACCCCGGGATCATGACCTGAGCCGAAGGCAGCCGCCCAACGACTGTGCCACCAGGTGCCCCGAGGACATACATTCTTAGGGATCTTGACAAAGTATTCTTCTCCTGGAGAAGTTCTGTCATCATTAAAGGAGCTAGCTCCGGTGTAAGCTTTTCATATTCTTTGTGATTCTGAATTCTTTCTCAATTTAAGACAGAGGTATCTCTCAGTTTAGTTTAGGAGGCAGTCCTGCCTGGTGTCTATATCCTTATAGGTGACCCCAACTCCCACGGGAAATTCTGTGGAGCTGTCAGCTCTGGGAGAGATTGGGAGCTCGCTGCTAAAGAGAATTTTCCCTTCATAGAGGCAAATAGTTAATAAGCTACCTGGACCATTTAGAAGGGTCTAGTTTATGAAATAAGGACTTTTTCTTCCTAGATGCTGTCATTTTTAACAGTTCTTTGCTATTTAATCCCCACTACTTCTTCCTTAGAAAATTAACTAAATAGTAGGGGCGCCTAAGTGGCTCAGTTGGGTCTAAGCGTCTGACTTTGGCTCAAGTCATGATCCGAGTCCTGGGATCAAACCCCAGGTCAGGCCCCTGCTCAGCAGGGAGTCTCCTTCTCCCTTTCCCTTTGCCCCCCCCCCAACTCCTGCTCTCTCTCTCTCTCTCTCTCAAGTAAATAAATAAAATCTTAAAAAAAAAAAAACTATTAGAAAATTAACTAAACGGGGCTCAATCTTTCTGAAGTCTGGAATATTTTCTTCTAGCTAAATTTTCTCTGATATATGCCACTTCTACTTTTTCTAGACAAGCTGAATTACTCACCTTATTACTAAACTAAGAGAACAAACACCACCTCTCAATGACTTGAGGGAATGAAGTACTGAACATAGATGTCAGTGCCTTGAACCAAGGTTGTACAAATGAAAGAACATGACCTCTGGTCAGACAGACACACCTTCATTACTTTTTGCTGTGTTGACTTAAGGAAATAATCAAGACTTTGAGTCTCCTCTACCTCATCTTCGAAACAGAAACAGTAATACCTGCCCCATATTACTGTTGTGAAGATTAGATTTTATGTTAATGAAGAGTCTGGCACAGTGCTGAGCTCGTATTATGCTCTCAATAAATGGCCCAATTATTATTTAATGAGAATTTGTCATTAGTAATATGAATAAACAAACTCTTTTAGTATAGTTCCAAAAATTAGTTACATACTGAAATTGGAATGGAATTAAAAACTGCAATGTTAGAGGATAATTTTGACATCTAATAATCTGTAGAATTTTTATCTGTCACACAGTCACATGATACTCAAGAATCGCTAGAGGACGAGCGTGGCATCGCTGCAGTAAGCCAGGATGGGGTGCGGTTCTAGTTCTTCCACTGGTGCCCTCTGCTGTTGCCTGTGCTGCTGGAGGTTTATGCTCCTCACTTACTACCACACATCCTGTGCATGGCCCACTGTGGGGCTCAAGGAAGAACTTGGGACTGCATTATCTGCCACCTGAGTTCATGCACAGTTGTCTGAGGTGAGACTTGAGAATGGTTCTTTACCTTTCAAAAGGAACCACCACCCATGTCTCGTAAGGACTGGTTTTCTCATCACTCATGGGAGGACTTTTACCTATGTGTAGATATAAGGAAGATTTCCAAAGGAGCTTGCGTGGGGTAGAGTCAATGTATTTTGGTAGCCCAACATTTCCTGAATCACCCACCAATACAATTTTCATGGAATGACTGTGGTGAGATATGCTTTCTAGAAGTGTCTTTTGGTTTCCTATTTTTTTTTTTTTGGTGTGGGGGGTGCTGGTGAAAAACTGGACATTTGTTAATGCTATGGCTGGCCCTTATCTTTTTTTTTTTTTTTAATTTTATTTATTTATTTGAGTGAGAGAGAATGAGAGATAGCATGAGAGGGAAGAGGGTCAGAGGGAGAAGCAGACTCCCTGCTGAGCAGGGAGCCCGATGTGGGACTCGATCCCAGGACTCCAAGATCATGACCCGAGCTGAAGGCAGTCGCTTAACCAACTGAGCCACCGAGGCGCCCTGGATGGCCCTTATCTTGATTTCTTGGCAACATTCGAGGTGGATGATCTTTCTTTTGAGAAACTCAACTCTGGGCTTCCATTGCTGGAAGATCCTTGTTTGTCTCCTACCTGCCCCTTTTCCCCCCCACTCCTTGTTGTTCTCCTTTCTCTGGTGATCCCTTAAATGTTTTTCCTCACGGTTTTGTCTTTTTATTTACACATTTTCTCTCAGTAATCTGATCTATTCTCATGGCTTCATTAGAGCTTGTACAATGCTGATTTGTTATACTACTGCTCGTTCCCACCATTTTTTTTTTTTCTATTCAAGAGACTTATACATCCTTTCAAATAAGAACAATACCGTTAATATGTTTTTCAGTGTCTGGTTGGCTGATGGAGGGAAGTGCGTGTTATGTTACACTTCTGGGTAGGGGACACTAGTGGGCCATACTGGATAGTACATTCTTGGCTTTGCTTTTTATTTTCCTCAAATTGGATGGCACTTGCCAATCTCTTAACTCCACCATAGTCTCTCCTTTGGCTAGTATGTACTGTTCCGATAAACAAAGTGGATGTAATAGTACGTGAAGTACAGCAAGAGAGCTAAGAAAAATGATCACCCTGGATGTTAAACTGCTAATTTTATAGCTGCCTGAGGTAGGGGAGCCACACCAAGGAAACAGGTAGTAAAGATCAAAAGCAAATTAGGTAATAGTGGAAGTCTTTTGCAATTATGAGGGGTATCATAAAACACTGCAGCCTGGGAGGAAATGACTGATAATTACTGAATGAATAATAATAATAATAAAAGAACAGTATGGGATGATTGGTCTTTCTTACCTTAAAAGAAATATTAATGCTTCTAATAAAACACGTAATTCTTTCACACTGATTAGCTGCAGTGTGAGTATATGGTTTTTGTCGGGTGTAGTATTCTGTAACATATTGAACAGTCCATCATGAAAATGAATGCTTTAAATTTGCACCTATTGCTTATATCCAATTGTGGCAATGCCTTAAATTTGGTGAGATTATCTTTGTATTTATACTGGCAAAGTAAATACTTTCTAAGGGAAGTTTTAATGTCCAAACTTACTGGTCTAAATCATCCAGATTAGCTTTCTGCCTTCAAAGAAAATATGTAATATTTCAATGCAAAGATCTATTTTAGGTGTAAGAGTCAACCACACAACAGAAAGAATACGTAAACTGGTCATGGCTTTCAGACTTGTTAATAATAGAAGACAACAGCTGCCTTCTGGCATTACATGTGGTCATTAGTCTTCAGTAAATGAGATCTAAAATGTGATGGATGTGTCACTCCACCTGTAAACAACAGAAGATGCAGATAGGAAACTCATTCTGACCAGTGTAATGGATCAGAGCCTGGAGACAGCAACCGCTCTTCAGATGGGCCAAGTTGCATGTAGATGAATTATGAGTATCAGTAAGGACTGGAGACAGGCTGAAATGGGTGGTGGGGCAGGCTCTGCACTCTATATTTCTTTCTAGATCTTGTAAAGTAGATACATTTTCTCCCTTTAAACATAAACTTTCATGAAGAATATATAAACAAAATGTTCTTTATTCAGTTTCATGGTTCCAAGTTGGTTAACTTCAGTGAGTTTTGAAATTATCAGACTTGGTTAAGAAAGAAAAACATCCTTCTCAGCTTGCAGCAGAGACCCAGGGCTCGGTATGAAAGAAAAAACAACTTCAACTTAAAAAAATGCCCAGGGTTTACTGTTTCTTAAAAAGGGTGTTTCTAGGACAACTATTTTACACAATAAATGACCCTGTGCCAAGAGAAGATCTAGCTAACCTATTCCTAGAGTTATGAATGTTTGTAAATCAAATAAGCAGGAATGGTCTCTAAGAATTTTGCATGCCTGACCTTAAAATAATATTAAAAAGCTAAACATTTTTAAAGAGTAAATTGTTTCCTAAATCATAGAAACACTCACTTTTCTCTAAGTGTACATAACAGGACTGAAATCCCTCTGAAAAGAGAGGGGGTACAAGTGGGTTACCGAGTAGTGTTCTATTACATGTCCTCCCCTTTCTCACTTCGCCCCTTCCCTATGAGGCCCCAGAGATACTAGGAAGTGCCTTCACAAGGACAAGCTAATAACTCACAGTAACAATTATAAACTACAGAGCAGTGGTCTCAAATTGTGGTTTCCTAACAGGAAACTTGTTAGAAATGCAAATTCCGAGGCCCCACGCCAGACTCAATAAATCAGAAACCCTGGGAGTGAGGCCCAGCAATCTGTGTTTGAACAAGGGGACTCTGATGCATTTTAAAGTTTGAGAACCTCTGCTGTAGACTAATTAAAACAAGAATTTCAAGAGTCTTTCTGTTTTCTCAAAGCTGATGGGTGTTATATGAAATAATTATAAAAGCTTTAGGGATATGATTATAGGTAGTAATTACAGACTATTCTATTTCTATTGCAATATATGTGCTCATGGCAGATTTTAGTAGATAATTTTATTAGTTCATCTAGTTAGCTCTTGTTTGGCTTTGAACAAACCAACCCTAAATGACGCTGACAATGTGGTCAGATCTTAAGATGGCAGAGATTGAAATTTAGGGTTCTCTTGGGCCAGCTGAGACAAGTGACTAGAGAAGTTATATATCCTTAGAGAACCGTGTACTTCTCTTGTATAATCACATGTAACAGTTACAATCAGTAACTGCAGAGGCCACTTTTAGGCAAACAGGCTTGAGCGATGGACTGTAGAAAAGGCCCACAGCGACCACCTGGATGAATACAGACCGGCCCATTGGGGGACCCACCTCAAGATACCCAGAGGCCCTAACTGACCCATGGCTACTTATCCTCACCTTCCCTCTTTAAAAACAGCCCCCACCCCCTGCCTCTGCAGACGGCCTGCCGCTCCCTTCCAGCACGTTCCATAAACTTCTATCTCCTTTGTTCTGCCTCAGGTGAATTCTTATCACCAGCTGTGCCACCGGCTTTCACCAGACTGTTGTCCCACATTTGGGGGCCCCTATCACCACAATAACCAAGTATGTAATAATTTAATTGGCTTAGGAATGAAAGGGCTCATATTATCAATCTATGCAAACTTATAACTAGGAGAAACAATATACTGAGTTGACAGGGGGAATTACATTTGATTCTAGGGCAAAACATTTTATTTTGGTTTGCCCACTGTACATGCCTTACTCTGTTATGAGGTCTTGAAACAGCACTAATAATTTTCAGATTAACAATTTTTTAAAGCTCTCTCAAATCTTATATATGTCTCATGATCAAAACCCAAAAGCCCTCAGAAGACCAGTGCTACTGAGCAGAGGAGTGAATATCTCCCTGCATAATTCTCAAGTGAGAAAAGGTTCTTTTCTTTCCTATAAAAAAAAACCCTTCTCATGCTTTAAGGAGTAAGCATACTGAGCAGCAAGGAAGCATTAATCTGTTTAAGAGAGGCTCAGATCTCATTCTCCAGAATCACAGGATAGCCACTGTTACATCATCAAACTGGTCCCTCAGAGCTGCCCAGGGCTTCAGGAACTCCTCATAAATATGATAATAGTATCACTTAAATAACAATCATGCTCTGAGTGGAGAGAACTGTTGGAAACACCAGCTGCGATATCCCATACTGACATTTTAAATGAAGTTGAATACGCTTGGTAGTTAATGCATATCAGGTGTGTCAAAAATGAGCCATTACCTTTCTAATATTCCTGCTACAGAGTTTAGAATCTAATCAAACAGAACATATGGCAAATACATTCTGTTTTGAGGAAAATATTTCTAAACAGTTGCATGGGGCTGGCTCAGGTATTAAGATTAAAACCAAATTTAGTCACCATACCAAAATTCTTTTTCAACTCTTAAAAAAATTACTAGTATCAAATAAATGGATGCCACCAACTGGAGGAAAGCAAGGAAATATTAAAATGATTTCCTCAGGCTGGAAATAACAGTCTGCTTATCGTAATGACAGATTATAATAAATTCTTAATTTATTCAGATTCATCAAGCAAATTGTCTTCATAAATGGTAGTATTATATGACATTTTTGTTACCAGTTTTCTAGAATAGCCCTCAACAACTGAAGCAAATACTGTGGCAGAGAAGCCTAACAGCTATGCAGGCCAGTTGGTGGCATAACATCACAGTCGTTGACCCAAGTGTCCCGAGAAGAAGCAGTATTTCTTTTTTTAATGTAAAAGCTGAAAGTAACTTTTCCTCATTTTCAAAGTAGGATGCTGGGTTTTCTCCTGCCAAAAGGATATCATTTTACATTTCATTTATGCAGCACTTTTTATTCAAATGAATCAAAATGATTCAATACATCAATATTAAACAGAACAGTCCTGCTTGTCATTTTCTCTCAACCCTTCAAAAAACTGCTTAGTTTATGATATGTACTTTTGGTTGGAATTACTAAAAAAGGAAAAAGGGGAAAGACCTAGAGCAGACACCATCTGATTTTCATGACCTGTATACACTTTATTATTTGTCTTACAATGCTCATTAGAAACGAGCAGCATGGGGCGCCTGGGTGGCTCAGTTGGTTAAGCGACTGCCTTCGGCTCAGGTCACGATCCTGGAGTCCCAGGATCGAGTCCCGCATCAGGCTCCCTGCTGTCAGCAGGGAGTCTGCTTCTCCCTCTGACCCTCCCCCCTCATGCTCTCTCTCTCTATCTCATTCTCCCTCTCAAATAAATAAATAAAATCTTTAAAAAAAAAAAAAAAAGAAACGAGCAGCATAGGGTTGAGGCCAGGGATTTTGTGGCAAAATCAAGCATATCATATGTGCCTCTCCACACCAACTAAGTAAGCACTCTCTAGTGTGTGCTCTCTCTCTGGCTGACAAACCAAAGAAATCTGAGATCCTGCAAGAGCTGACCTGATCTAAGCCTGGGATTAAACACTAATAAAAATGCTGGCTAAAGCTATATCACATTGAAAGCTAAGTACTGATGATTTAACAGGTTGTATTCACCACTGCATCCACTGTGAGTTATTCATAAATCACAGCATCTAATTTCACTATTGGAAACATTTAATAAATTGGAATCCTATGGATGTGGACAGCAGTTTTTTCTAAGCTTTTAAAATAAATTAAAAACAAGGTAAAATGAAACAAATGAATTACTGGAAAGTGTCTATTCTAAATGAACTCCTTAATGAATGCTTATAAATGAATACAAAATACGGAGCTTCTCTGACTATGATTATAGCAAAGGCAGCAAAAAGCATTAAGTATTCCCTTACGTGCATTATGTTCGTAATGGCAAGAGGCATGCCTAAAGTTCACTATATGTTATTAAAAGTCCGTTCTGAGCTCAGTAAGTTTCTCAGCCCAATAAGCATTTAAAAAAAAAAAAAAAAGAGCCAATACCTCTGCAAACTGAAACAAGGCTGATGCTTGACACTGTTTTGAAGGAGTATCAGGGTGGGACGAACTGGAAGATATCTGAAAGGAAACAAGTAATTTTTAACGCACAAGGACATTTTCCCATATCAGACTAATAGATTCTGCCATATATTTCCACTGTAGACAGTGATAAAGATTAAGACATGAATCATCACCCTTAATGCCTTTTAGAAGAACAGTATAAATGATAAAGGAAGACAAAGGCCATGTTTCTAAAAACAGATGATTGGAAGAACAAAGGACCAAGTTTTGCTCATCTGCCATGTCTCTTGTAGGGTATCAGGTATGCTGCAAACAGTCGTTGAGGAGACTTGAGATGAACTGCTTTATTTTGAGATGAACTGCTTTATTTTAATATATTTTTAAAAATATTATTAAAAGCTGGAAGCTGCAAGAAAAGCCAGTCGCTCTCTCTTCCCTACACCACTCCCCCCAAGCTGTTCTCTGCTTAGAGGCAGCTGGGAAGCAGTGCTGGAGAAGCATATGGATGTATGGCTCAGGGTATCTGGGATTGAATCTTAGCTGACTGCTCACGAGCTACATGACCTTGGGCAGCTCAGCTGATCTTTCTCAGACTTATTTTTCCCAACTATAAATTGATGATAATGATGAAGAGAATAATCCCCATTTTACAGGATTACGATGAAAAGAAAAGCTACAGAATATACTGCTTGGCATAGCACGAGAACTCAATACTCACTGAACAGGAAGAGCATTTCTTTTGTAACACTATGCATGCATACATACACACACTCCCTGTCACTATCACTCTTCAGGCATCTGACTGTGGATAGAGGATTCTGCCTTACCACACCCGGTTCAACTAGGAGGCCTTTCGTTTCCACTTGGTAATTACGGTAGCCTCATTAAAAGTTTGCTCTGATGGCCCCATAGAAATACTTTCCAAAGATCTTTTGAGAACAAGGTCAGTTATTAATTTTGGTTCCCAAGTGAACAAGACTTCTATACAGCTACAAAATAGGGTGAGAGTGAGTCACAAGAGCAAAAACCCTGGGTATTATGAATTCAGCCCATTCCCAGTCCCATAAAAGTATTCTCCTTCAAGTAACTGTGCTCACCAACTCCATCAAAGGGTACTTACTAAGCACAGATGCACCTTAATCATAACTCTTCAAACAGAGAAGTCATTTTTTTCATCTTAATTAAATTAAGCTGGTTAGAAAAACCATGGAGGCAGCTGTTGATACAGTATCAAAGTAATGTTTAGGGATGAGAAAGAATTAGTGAAGAGACTGATGGAATTACTGACTTTACTCACTGCTGAAGCCATTAAGAAAATTTTAATGCCACTATAATTAGACATATAAGCATCTTTAGAATAAATACCAGTAAAAAGAAAAAAGATCCAGATCCTATTTTACAAAGAGACCACTGTGAATGAATAAAATTTAACCAAGTATTTTAAGGACATTTGAAGGTAAAATTATACTCTTTTTGGTTAAACCATGAAACCTATCATTTCAAATGAGCACCATGTGCAAGTGTGACAGATTGCAAATATGAATCCACGAGGATTTTCCTGAGGTCCTGGGTAGGTCTTACTTCAGACAGCATTTTTCATTCCTATGCACCCTCAATAAAAGTTGAAGAAAATAGCGAGTTTATATAAGGGGAATTAATTGCCTAACCTATATTTCTTTGAGGATTAAGACAATGGATGAAATGAAGAGAACCACTACCAACAACAATCTAGATTTTTGAAAAGCATTTCACAAGCTTCTAAACAAAAGGATTTACTTATAAATTAATACTGGGATAGGGACCTCATCAAGATAAAAAGCTTCTGCACAGCAAAAGAAACAGTCAACAAAACCAAAAGACAACCGACAGAATGGGAGAAGATATTTGCAAATGACAT